AGCAGGAATTCAGTTAGTTTTTCCCTCCAAAAAAACAGATGCAAAGTTATAGACTATACACAAGATTTTCATAACAATCCAAGCCAGAGATTCATATTAACTCAGTTTCTGCTTGTTGTTTATCAGTACTATTCATTCAGACATTACATTTTAATGTCAGATTTGATGTATCTTTCAATTCTGATGCAAAGAGCAATATGTTCTGAAAATAAAATATTAACCCATTTGTAACTTTCATGTGTGACAAATCCAAGTGAGCATTATTTACATTCTGAATACAGAAGTTCTTATGTTAAAATTTTTCTCAACTTGTTATTTATCTGAATTATATTATTAAGTTATGTCAATATATTGAAAGTAGGGGACTGGGACAGCAAGGAGAAGTGATGAAACATAATTTTGGAACAAGCAATTCAAATAGAATTCTTTCGGGAAAATGTTAACATTTTGAAGCGTATTACAAAGACATTAGAATAATAAGCTTCTATCTATTAGTTGACAGTATGCCTTTTTTTCCATCTCCGATTTTATTAACAGGTATAAATGGGATCATTTAAAAGTACATATATAGCCAATTTAAAAGTTCCAAGACATTTTCTTCAAGAATATTTAATTGTGACCAAAAAATCCATTATATTTTACATGCATTTCTGAGATTTTGCATTCTTTCACAGATTTTACAAGTTTAATATAATTTCATGCTGAATACAATGACTGCCACTACCAACTAGCTATAAAATTAACAAATCTTAGCCCCACATTAACTTCTGACCTGCTCTGTAAAAAGCACCTGGAAGAGTGTTATTTTCACATGGAAATAACATGTAAGACTAAAGAAATAACAGATACCAGAAAATCCATATAGTAATTATGGTTTCAACTATTTCATTAACCCTCTAAAGTATCTTTATTTCTTTAAAAATCAGGTCTGTCTTCAAAAAAGATAACATTAGAAGGGAAGCACTACAAAAAATAACTTTTTCCAGAAAATATAAAAAAAATTTATTTAGAAGTTTTAGAACAATGACCACACTTAAGAAGTACACAAAACTAAAGATGAAATCAAAGAGTTGCCACAAAATATTTTCAATTTTACTGGCATAAATTCAGTCAATAAATGTAACATATATACCAAAGCAAAGCTTTCATTTAGTTCTCTCAGGATTATTTACAATGATTATATTTACAAATGTATGTAAAATATAAATTCAGATTTCCATCACTTTCTATAATATATAGCTGTGTAATGAAAATAATTCAACCACCAGAAAAAGAATATGACATTCAGGAAATCTTTTTAACACTTAATTCTAAAATAATAAAAAATACTCATTCGAGCCACTTCTACATAAAAAAAAAGATTGCATAGTTTAAGTTCTCCTGAACTTAAAAAATAAAATTTAAACTGTTACCTTACCTTCTGTATTCGGTAAGAAGCTGATTATAATGATAAACCACAGGCTTCGCATTCTGCAACCAGAAGACACCATTATTGATCCCTTTAAATATTTTCTTTGTATTCCTTAATGAATCTAGTTATAAATGTCCAGCTTCATCGAACCCAGCAGTCTGCATCATTGATCCTCATATCTGAAAAACAAACAAATCCATCATTTACACTATGCTCCTGCAATGTCACAAACGATGAAAAAATAATAATAACAACAACTCCTCTGGGCAGGGCTTCCCTGATGGCGCAGTGGTTGAGAGTCCACCTGCTGATTCAGGGGACACGGGTTCGTGCCCTGGTCCGGGAGGATCCCACATGCCACGGAGCGGCTGGGCCCGTGAGCCGTGGCCACTGGGCCTGCGTGTCCGGAGCCTGTGCTCCGCGACAGGAGGGGCCACAACAGTGAGAGGCCCATGTACCGCAAAAAAAGAAAAAGGGCATATATTTTGATTCTGTATGCAACAGGAAGTTGCTCCTATACACTGGATATCTGAGCTTTGCATTCTGGAAACAATCAAAACCCCCCAAAATTAAAGGTAATCAGAACATATGAATTCACGTAATAGTTATATAATTCCCAAAGATGAATTTTTCTTTGAAAAGATTAAAAAGTTATTCTAGAATAATATATCTGCCTTTCAATGCCACGTATTAGTCATTTTATCAAAGTACTAGCTTTGGTACACAATACCTCCAACAAAATTTCATAAATACATACACTTTGTTTCTAGTGATGGTAACAGCAGTATTATCTACTCTTTTATCCTGTTACCTTGCAAAGTACATTACAGATATAATGAAACAGTTTATTTTTCTATTCAAGGGTGTACAATTTTTAATATATGGTTGTACTTTATATCATAATGGCATTCCAAACACCACATAGCAAACTGTCATTTATCTGACTACTACTTATTCATAAAGGGAGCAGTTTAATAAAATGATTGCTCTTAACTATTTCATTTTAAACTTTTAGATTTTCATATATCAGTTTTTCTTACAGCAAAACTTAGTAAGATCAAACCCATATCCTTGAGTAGTTTAGTCCATCCACTGGAGGAAAATAAAACCGCAGACCGTGATGATTATATCTCCAAGGTTGCATCACTATTTTTAAAAAACCAAGGGAGGGGTGGCAAAGAATATAAAAACCAAGAGCAAAGTTTAATTCTGACTAGCCCTTAAGGACACAGTTCTTCAAATGCAAAGGATACAAAAACTTCAGAAGTGATTTAATCAGCATTTCTAAGTTCCCAGGATCACGTGAAACCAGGTTATTTGCTGGGTTCTACTGAAGTGTTTTACTGCTTTCTGGGGTAGCATGAGGAATCGAAGAGTAAATACCAGCCTTACAATACACATACTATGAAGCCAGTTCCAAAATATATACAGCCTCCTGATCTAGCTTCTGAGAGTAAAGAAATTACAAATTCTTCCTTTAAAGTTTTCCCATGCTATCCTTAACCTGGTGCAAATAAAGAGTGTTTTTTTAAGTGGAGCACTGAAAGTTACATGAGGTTGTGTCTATAATGCAAATCAAATGAACTCTTACATAATTTAGATGCTATCACTAAAGCATAAAGAAAATTCAGAAAACCAAATTTCCCTAGATAACTTTTGAGTTCTCTATTTCACATTATCTGAGCTACTCTGCATTTGCTACATTCTTAATGCATCATATGTGATTCTATTAGCAGGTCACTATATTCTGCTATCACTTCCCTACAATGTTACTTCAATGGAAAGGGGGTCAGATGCTAAATGGTTTGGAACACTTATGCTACAAAGTCACTATCTTGCTTCACCAACACACAGAAAGAAGGTAAAAAATTAATCTGAAGTCATTATCTATTGTTTAAATATGAAGACCCATAAAACCACAAAAGGAACTAGCAAGATATTTTTGTCATAAGTTTATTTTATCATGCCTATAGTTTCTGAGATAAAACTGCTTCCATATACACCTCCATGATCCATAATCAGCCCAGGTTTTTTAGCTCCCTCTGAAACCTGTGAAGATAATTACCTATCATAATGAGGGAATCAGAATTGGCATTACCAAGTTCTAAGAACACCTCAGATGTTCTTAGAAATAAAACAAAAACAAAGGGAAAAGCAAGCTTCCTCCTCTGCATGCCAAAAATATAAAAAGAAGAATGATACATCAAAAATTAATCTGACGGAGGAGACACATGGCACACAACCCTGAAAAACTGGCTGGCTCTCTATTCATTTTTCACTCTGAGCTCCCAAAGACTATTCAAAAGACAAAATCAAAAGTAAACCTTCCATTTACAACTGCTGTGCAAAGTACCTGCCTTAAAACTGCAAGCTGTTTTATATAAAGCACAGAGAGAAGTCAGATAATTTCATGGCCTGTCATATCAAAAGGGCTAATCAGTGAACAATTTCTTACTTCCCACAGACTGGTCAATGATTGGCTCAAGCAATTAGAATAATTTTAATGTGTGGAAGAGGTGCATTAATTTTACTTGTAGTAATTAAGTCAGCCTTTGGAATGCTCCCGATTTAAGCAAAGAATCCTGACTACCCAGGTTTTGGTTGTAATGGGTACTTTCATTTCAATGAACTAATGCATACAGGCTGCGTGCCCACATGCACAACCCTTGAACACATTTCCACTTTCTTAAAGCGATCCAAGATCGGTCTGTCTTTGGTCATCCGCTATTTGAAAGAGTCCTTGTTTGTGGGAAGAAAGAGAAGGAAGAAATCAGGGACTGATGACTGCCTTGTAAGAAACAGCTGCCAAGATAGGAAAACCTCTGTTAGTGAAGGGAAAAGGAGGAGGAAACCACACAACCCAGACCTCTTTTGTGGTCTCTGGCCAGGATAGAATATTTTATGAACTGATTTTAACTATACACTCTAGTCAACTATGAGACTTAGTATAAATGATTGTTTCTAACAAACAGAAAGAGATTCTGGAATGTAATAAAATCATGGCTTCGTTCGCCCAAATAAAGCTTAAGTCTATCCATCTGTCTGTGCAATGAGTAAAAGAATATCAAATTTATTTTTCTCATTCTACTATCTACACCAAATCACTTTCACATCAAATAAAATTATTTTCTAAAGTTCAAGCTTTAAATGCAATTTTGAAAACAGTCAAAAGATCTTACTGCTGTGATCCAAATTAAAAACAACCTTCCATTAAAAAATTTAATGAAAACTGAAATACTTAGCAGACCATAATCAGCTAAGGATAGAATGAATAAATAATCAAACATGATGAAACTAATCCCAAGAAAACATTGCTTCTAAGTCAAACTGGAGCCACAAGACACTCACTGGCATAGATGTAGCCAACAGACTCTATATAACTACCTGCAAAATGAAGCTCAGTATAAGTGTCTCACAATGCAAAACAAGAACAAAAACAAGGAACAAAACCAGAAAAGGGCTATTCAACTTTCTTTCAACAAACAGAAAAGATTACGTGATTCCCCATATCAAAAACCAGTTTGTCCTTTGATTTTTAGAAAAACTCTTCCCAAGAACTTCAGGGGAAAATTGGGAGGGTAAAGGCACAGATGAAACCCCACATAATGCTAAGTAACAGTTCCTTGCTTAATAAAAACTGAAACAGAACATTTTTACTCAAACTACAAATGACTATTTCTTTTCTTATCCTTCAAATAAGGGGATTCAAACTATTTCATCCTAACCTTGTTTCTATAACCACCTGCCATTGTCTAACAAACCTCTGTCAAGATTTTTTTTGTAGAGTAAGTATCCTATTACTCTGTCATGTAAAAAGTCAATTAATGCATCATTAATACTAAACCTTCCAAAGCTGAACAACGACTTCCAGGAACGTGCCTCAGCACTGTTTATATCCCAACAGTCCTCAATGTTTTATACACTACTTACAATGTACAGTTAGCTGTAGCCTTTCAGACAGTAACCTGCTTATATTTATTAGCTGCATTAAACATCCCATGCCTTAAATTGTCAGCAAAATTAAGAAACCATTACTAATCAGTTTTAGTATTTGTGTATTTATGTTACATTACTAAGAAATCACATTTAACCTTATATATGATGATATCTGTCTAGCAAAAATAGAAAAAAAATAAAACCCATTTGTTGAAAAGCATCAGTGAAAGAAGTAGGATACAGCATGCTTCAAATTAATGAGAGAAAAAGATAATTTAAAATTTTCTAAAAATGGTTGAGTTGATATTCTTCTAAGTGCAAAGACACTAAAATTCATATCTAAAGCTTTATCTTTGATTTCTACTCATGGACACTGAACTACTGTGAACACCGGATATTACGCCCAAACAACCATAAGTATGAGAACCGGAAAGGCAAAGAGACATATTAAGCAGGAAACCTACCAAAGTTACCCATCCTTGTTACTATGCACTAATGCTGTATAAAATGAAACATTCACACTTTGTGTAAGCCTAAAATTCTATGCACTAAGTGTATGTCAGTTTTAAATGAGAGCTAAAGACAGCTGTACAAAATCAGTCTTTCTGATCTAATTTGTGCTATAAAATTATAATCACTATGGGACAGAATTTACTAACTAAAGAAAGCTGCTTTTCTATGTTTTACCAAAACAACAATAACAACAGCAACAGGATGATATTAACCCCACTCTGCCCCCACTGCAAAGGTTTAGAAAATAAAAAATAAATTGCAGAATTTCCCCTACTTGTTAACATAGGAGAAAACATCAACACCCTTGGGATTTTTCTTTCAGTAAGTTGCCTAAGTAAACCCTTGTTATCACTAATCAGAAAGCCTTTTTTAGCTCCAGACATTTGACGTTCTTCTCGTGTTGGACTTTATTTTCTTTCCCTTCACAAAGATAGGGCTGGGGTTGGAAATGCTAATAGCCATTTTAAAACCACGTGGCCAACCAATAGTCGCCACCCTCTTTCTGTTTCATTTCTGCAGATACTGGTATCAAAAATAGAGTACTTTAATTACACCATTTATACTAAAGTCCCCTTAACATTCATTTTTGATCTTACCCTTTACTGAAACTTCATCATTGTGAAGGTATAA